AGTTTGTACATTTTCCATTTTATAGTTTTCCTAGTACTGTCATTTTTTTGTTGGAGGGGTCTAACAATTGTATAATATGTATAAATGATTGATTACCCTTTGAATTTTGAGAATTTATTAATTGTTGCCATATTCTTTTTTTTTTTTTTAAGATTTTATTTATTTGAGAGAGAGAGAACGGTGGGAGGAACAGAGGGAGAGGGGCAAGCATACTTGGTGCTGAGCGCAGAGCCTGATGTGGGGATTGATCTCATGACTCTGAGATCATGACCTGAGCCAAAATCAAGAGTCAGACGCTTAACTGACTGAGCCACCTAGGTACCCCAATTGTTGCTGTATTCTTTTGAGTGCCTTCTTTTTGGAAATGAACACATTATGCCTGTTACATAAAATAGATGCTTCCTTGATCTAGAGTTCAAAAGTCACTGAGTTATTGTTTTAATTTGGGTAAGTCGTTTGAATACACTGCCTTGCTTCACCTATGAATGGGAAATAGAAACTTCACAGTCTTTAAGGGTACCTTACTTTTAAGATAAAATTCAGAAAATCCTTAAAAAATTATAAAGTGGGGCATCTGTGTAAGACAGTGTATTGAATAATTAATGTGCTCTTGGGACAGTCAGGAAGTAAACTATTTGTATTTATGCCTTTTGGTAATTGAATGGTTTTTGCAAATAACTTTTAGTATAATATTCTTCATAGTGGAAAACTTGTCCTGTGCTTTGCAAAATAATGCTCATTTCACCTTTCCTGTCACAGTAAATATGTAATTAAATGTAATTATTGTTTAACCTTAGCTGAGGACCAGGAGCTGGTCCTACATGGTACTTGGCAGGTAGCATCTGTGGCCAGCCACCCATCTCCTCCCGACACCCACACCCAGCTCAGCACATCCTCTGCTATGCTCAAGGGCAGCCCAGACAGAGAGATCAGGTCCAGGTGTGGCTCCCTCCTGTCTGGCATGGCTTCCTTCCAACAGGTAGAGAAGGTGGCCAGCTCAGACACATGACATCTTCTTTTGGTTACTTGCTCTCTGCCTCCCCTTTTTGTCACTCTGGTCCTTAAACTTTAGCTCCTGTGAGAACCTGGGTTTGCAGGTTTCTTGTTGACATTACAAAGTGTGCAGATCTGTGTTGCCTTTGTTCCCGTCCGTGGGTCGGGTATAAAGGCAGGAAAAGTCATCAGACTGTGAAAGCAACAAAAATAAATCTCAGGTGTGCTCTGTGTGCCGTACCTCAGACTTGAAAGAGATGGCAAGCTACATACCTCATGTCATATCCAGCTTTAGGGAGTCATAAAAGCATGCAAAATAAAATTGTAAAAACAACAACAACAACTCATTTCATAACACTTTCATAGCCTGGTTCTAGTCCAGCATAAAGGTGGAACAGACAGCTCTCTAAATGCCCTTATTGCTAAGTGCTGTTATTTAAAAGATGCTCACGAACTTACCTCTAAATTGCTCCATGTTTGACCTGGTATTTTGGGATGCTTTCTAAAGACTCCTGTTAAGTATTGGTATTATCACTGAAGAAGTTACATGTTGAGATATCATCTGCCTCTGGCATTCCAGCTGAATATAGTTTACCTGGAGAATGGGACCATAAGAGAATAGGATGTAGGTCCACTAAGTTTTTTAGAAGGGAGGGAAGGACAAATCTAAAATCTAGAGTAATGTCAGGGACAGGTGGCCTTGATAGAGAGGCAAAGCTGTTAGCCTTGGGAAGCAAGGCAGTGATCTCAAGTAGAGTATGGATAATATGGCCGATTCACAGTGCTTTTAGATCCAGCCATGTCTGATCTCTTAATAACCGTAATACTTTCATGGTTATGGTCATATTTGAACATAAGGTCCATGGCACCTGAAGACCAAGGATCTAACTACTAGTGGCTTTGCAGCATTTATATGCTGCTCACATAAGCCTCTTAAAACATGTTCCAGATGTGAGAAAAATGGAAGTTTTCCCACTTTTAATGGGGAGAACTGGAAAAAAAGATACTAATAACTAGCTCTTACCATAACACAGTTTATATTTGGACAAAGTGTAAAGCATTTATTTGCGTGTCACTTACTTTATGGAGTTTGGAATCCTCCCCTCCCCCTCAGCTCTTGCTGAGTATATTTAGAAGCACCTAGATTATAGAGGAAATGGTAAATTTGTAGTGATTTTGTCAATTTTGGGATAATGATCAATACACTAGAAATGGTGTTTTTTAAAAATTAGAGTCGTAGCTATGAACTTTTACATTTGTTGACAAAAGGTGTAAACAACTTAAGTGCTTGAAAAATCATGTGGTTATTGGTTTTAGAAGCTCTCCTACTGCATTGCCTTTGCTCATGATCTTTTTGGTCCTAGAAATATTTAAAATAATCTTAATTTTAAGGTAGCATTATTATTGAATAGAACAATCCTACTTTGTTACTTTGTAGGGAACTGCGGTGTGATGATTTTGTAGATTTCTGATATACTTTGTGTGCTGGTCAGGTTGTACATTCTTGGTACCCTTGTCTCTGAGTGTGTTTCTGGCTTGATAACCTCACTTCTGTTTGCCTAATTCCTTCATTTTGAATCCAGTGGGATACGATGGAAAACAATTTGCATACAGGGAAGTACCACTTGAGCTATGCTTTCTTTTCTTTTTTTTTTTTTTTGCTTTGTTAAACCATATTTTTTAATAAAGGCTTTTCTTTTAGAAAAGTCACCAATACAGCATAGTACATGAAGACTATCTTTGAATTGCTTGAATAATATTTTTATTGTAAGAGGAAGCCAATCCTAGTTAACTTTTTTTTCTCTGCTAATTAAAGTTTAGGATTTTAATCAAGTTGTACTTAGCAATAGCTATGTTTTGAGTTAGGTAGGCTTTGGAGAAGAGTGGTGAGTCTCGTTTTCTAGTGTATTTTCACTAAGGACCGGGGCACCAAATATAAGAGTCCTGTGTACTTTGGTAATGACACTGTAATTATGTAAACCAAGTGGTCTGGGTGGTTCCAGGCTAGCCTTCCTTTACATGGGTGGTAGAAAGTGGTAAAACCAGACAGAATAGGCTTCAGAATCTAAGTAAGCAATGACAATGGCATTACTATTGAAACTTTGTCCCACCTTTTGTAAATATGGAACAGAAAAGCAATAATAGCCTAAACAAATTTACATTAGAACCTGTTCAGAGAATGGAGAAAGGAGAGAGATTGTTTTCCCCAGCAGTTTTTACTGTTTTTACTCCGTTTTGTCAGTTGTCAGTCACTTGAAGAACATCGTATTATTGACTTTTCTTAGGATTCCTTTACAAAGGAGCTATGTAAAATTGAACCGAGTTTCTCTCTGGGGAAGGGTTTTTATTAGGAAGAATAGCTTGGTAGATGGTACAGCAATTTTAAAAGCTCTAGTCTGTTCTTGACTTAATTAAAGGGGAGAGTATTTTAATTTGTTCAGCAGCAAACACTGAATGCCCATAAGTGAAAAGGCCTGTCAGTTCTCTGGGGAAGCAAAGATTGGGAAGGTGTAGGCCTTGCTTTTAAAGAGCTGTAGGCCTGTAGGGAAATCAGATGTGGGCATAATGGCACTGGAGTGACGAGTGCCCCAAGAGAGACCTGCAGACTGTGCTGGGAGTTCAGAGGGAGAGAGACACTCATTTCCCTAATGCGTGAGGCGAGTAGGCTCAGTGAAGCTTCATGCAGGTGGTGGAATTTAAGCAGTGTCTTGCTGGATGGGATTTGGACGTAGGAGGAGTTCTTCATATGGAGGCATGGGCAGGTGTTGGGGACAAGAACTTCAGATTTGCTGCTATGTCTAGCATGGAAAAGTAAATAGTAATAGTCATAATGATACTAATACAAGCATTTATTGAATGCCTAATTTTTCATAATTATTGTTTGTTTCAATTCATTTTCTCATAACAATAATATAATAATCCTATGAGGTAGGCAGATTGTCATCCCCATGTTACAGATGAAAAGTTGAGGTTGGTTAAGAAACTTGTATAAGGCTACATAGTTAGTAGAATTTGACCCCAGGCTGGTTCTGGAGAGCCTACCCTTACTTGCTATGTTATACTATGGGAAATGTAGAAAAGGTGGATTGGGGTCTGTATGTAGATCCTCAAATGCCCACGTAAATAATTTAATATATTGGAAGATTTTTTTTTTTTTTTGGTGATTCTGTATAGGGGTTTTAAACACATTCTCTTGTTTCTTTTAATGTGCCATGCTTTATTGCCTTTGAAAGGCCTTTCCTGTGTTGCCTTGTCAGTTTCTACTCAGTTCTCAAGTTTTGGCTTATATATCACCTTTCTGTGAGAGGCTTTCCTCAGTCACCCAGGAAGAAGGGCCCTCCTGTAGGCTCCCATGGTGCTTTGCCAGCACCTCTATCTAATACAATGTTCATCAGGTGGTAGGATCATTGTTTACTTTGTTTCTCAGCTAGACTGTGAATTATGTGAGTATTGGGATTGTGTATCCTTTTTGTATCCCTGGTGTTAGGTTCATCTTTCTTGCTGAATCAAGCTCAGATAAATCCCAACTGATTGAAAGGGAGAGTAATAAATTTTCAGACATCATACTGACTTTTTAAATTGCTTTCCTTCTGAGTTACAGGTGTTTGAATACCCAGAGAAGAGATAAATAGATGATACAATGTTTTGGTTGACTGGGTTCCTCTGAGAAAGAAGGAGAGAGATTATCAGGTTTGGGGTTGCTGGGGACAGTTTCTGGAGGGCCAGGCTCTGGGCTGGGCCCTCATCGAGGTGTAATCTTTAAGTTGGCAGAGGGAACAGGGCACGCCCTCAGAACAGCATGAACAGAGGACATAGATGGGGTCAGTTATGAAAGAACACTACCCGCCTTGACACCTGAGCCTCTCCGCTTCCTGCTACACCCACTAGGGCATTTTATAGCATAAAGAATCTCTTGAAAGCCCCAATTTTCTTTATAATCTGCCAGAAAGTTGTATGGGCCAGCAAAACATTTGCCATGTTAAACAACAAACATTTATTTCTCACAGTTCTGGAGGCTGGGAAGTCCCAAGATCAAGGTGCCCACAGATTCGTTCCTAAGGTAAGTTCCTAACACATGGAATCTGAAATTCAAACACGATGCCTTCTTGGTAGGAAAAGTGCTATTAAAAAATAGGCCCATTTGAACTAAATTATACAGTTCACCCTCCAGAAATTCCTTAAAGTCTTACAACAAGTAACCTCACATTTAGCTGGCATGTGGTCAGCCTGACTCAAGTTTTTTTTTGACTGCCTCGGACCAGTAGGGACCTTGAGATTGGGATCATGACCTGTGCTGTTGAATTCAGCCTCTTGCCCTTTATCTGGAAGCATGGTGGCTGTGATGCAAGAGCTGAAGGTGTGTAGTAGAGGCTTGGTTCATTGGGCCCACGGAGGGGAAGGTGATGAAGAACTCTCATAATGAAGGAGAGTGTTGGAATCCAGACAAAGGTGTCTTTGTTAAGAAACTCTTACTACCTACCATCGGAAACCTTTTAAAAATGCTTTTTTTTTTTTATTTGATAGAGACAGCAAGAGAGGGAACACAAGCAGGGGGAGTGGGAGAGGGAGAAGCAGGCTTCCTGTGGAGCAGGGAGCCTGATGTGGGTGGGGCTCGATCCCAGGACCCTGGGATCATGACCCGAGCCGAAGGCAGACGCTTAACCCACTGAGCCACCCAGGCACCCCTAAAAGTGCTTTTGAGACACGAGCCAAAGTAGCACAAATGATGCGAGAAAACTAGTGATGGCCCCACATTAAAAGCTTTGTCCCTCGCTAAGTTTGGATGGATAGTGGTTCTTGGGAGTGCCGAACAGGGAAGGGACTCTCTTCTCCCAAGATGTTTGAGGTCATAGCTCACCATTGTACTGCCTGATTATTCTGGGGACCGTGGGCCCTACCATGGGCAGAAGGAAGGGCCAGAGGGAAGGTCTGTCTCTTGTGTGTGCGGCCTCCATCCCATGGTCCTCTCTGTACACAGTTGCTGGTTTTAGTTTTCCTTTTCTACTGATTACTGAAGATCTTAGGGCCACAGATGTTGAAACATAAGTTTCATGGTTTTGTTCCCTGAAATATCCCCAGAGTCTAGAATAGCATTGTCAAATAGAAATATAATGTGAGCCTCTGTGTATTTAAAAATTTTTGAACTTCTAGTTGCCATGTTAAAATCAAGTACAAAGAAAGACAAGAAATTAATTTGAATAATATATATGGTTAACCTAATATCCAAAATATTATCTTCTCAACGTTTAACCTGTATAAAAAATTACTGACATATTTTACTTTCTTTTGTTCACACCAAGTCTTCAAAATCCAGTGTGTATTTTACGTTTATAGCATGTCTCAATTTGGAGTAGAGCCATTTTGAATGCCTAATAGCTACCTGTTTCTACTGCTTATGGTATTGGACATTGCAAGTCTGGAACTGTGTCTGGTCTATGGTGGAAGCCTGGCAAATATCTGTTACATGAAGGAAGAAAGAGAGGGTCCAAGGAGGGAAGGAGGAAATGGCAAAACCTAAAAGATGAGTAAACAGAGGAACACTGACTTGTCTTGGGGTGTCCTAGTGGTTTCTAACTAGAACAGCAGCTGAATGATGCTTCACATTTTTAGTTTAAGATCATTTGCAAATGTGTTATCTTACAGATATATACCTTCAACAACACTGTTTAGACAGGTCAGGTTTTACTGTCTTTAATTTATGGGTGACCTAGCTGAGGCTTAGCTAGGTTCAGTGAGTTTTTGGTTTAACCAGGATTCAAACTCAGGTCTTTTGAGTCCTAGTGCAGTACTTTATGCTCGCTACTGTGTACCTTCCCATGTGGCTTATGTTAGCTGTGCCCATACTTCCCTGTGACACTAGTTGGCTCTTAGATATGGATAGATGCTAAAAGATAGACTGAATAACTATTTTTAATACAGAGCTACTTAAAAAATAGTAAAGATCAGATCTTAAGGTTTGTTTTTAATTTAATAATCAAAGATAGGAGTGGGTACCGTAGCCAGGAAAGTTTTGTGTATGTGGCTTCTCTAGCTGTTAGGATCTTCTGAATTATAGAAGGCGCATACAAATGTGAAGCATCTTCTGAATTATAGAAGGCGCATACAAATGTGAGTGAAAAGATAGTTTATGACAAGGTATGCATACATGTGTTTGAAACTGTCCCTCTGTATAACGATCTTCTCTCTCAGATTGTCCTCTGGTAGGCATGTGTCATGATTTTCTGTTCTAGCACATGGAGAAATGTCTTGTCTCTTTCACATAGTGAAAGTGACTTCACCAGCATAATAACCCTCCAGTGGCATAAGTTATTGGATTTTGTGACTTTCTTGTTTCTTGAGCCATTAAGATGGTTGGTTTTATTGTGTTTAATGTTTTTTTTTTAAAAGATATTTATTTATTTATTTAAGAGAGTAAGAGAGAGCGCGCTCACGCGCGCATGAGCCAGGGGCAGGAGGAGGGTCAGAGGGAAAGGGAGAAGCAGGCTCCCCGCTAAGCAGGGAGCCCTATGCGATGTGGGGCTCCATCCCAGGACTCTGGGGTCATGACCTGAGCCAAAGGCAGATACTTAACCAACTGAGCCACCCAGGCGCCCTGTGCTTAATGTTTAAATAAAACCCTAAAGCAGATACTTTTGATATGATTCAGTTTGTTGTGGCTAAAAGGCTAAAAGAGAAGTGGAGGTTAATTTCTAGAGCATCAGTATGATGTTATGGAAACCTCTTTTTGGATAGAAGCCAACGTTGATCACCTTTGTATCTAAATCCTACTCTGCAGAGCATAGTGTGTAGTGAGATACCAGGGCACAGTAAGTACTTTATACAAGGTATTCAAATATTTGAGTTTGTGAGAAACAACTCTAGCTTACAGAAAACGTCAGTGTATTGAATGGAGCACTGGGTGTTATACGCAAGCAATGAGTCATGGATCGCTACATCAAAAACTAATGATGTAATGTATGGTGACTAACATAACATAATAAAATTAAAAAAAACGGCAATGTGATTTTAAGGTTTTCCCACAGTCAGAAGATACTGCAAAATATTTTGTTCACTGTTTCTCAATTTAAGATAATATACCATGAATTTGAAAATGGTAATGCAAAATTATTCAGCAAAATATATATATGCAGGTCTTTGTCATAGCAAAAGCCACCACTTAGATTTTAATTGATCCAAGCTGTAAATAAGGAAGTTAATTCTAATTTATCTTGCATATTTGGGAGATCATTCATAAGGAATTTTCTACAAAACCACAGGACTATCATTATCTACCAGGTTCGCTAAGGATTTCAGTGTAGATAGCTTCTGCACATACTTTAGCTTCTCTTTTCATAGCCTGGGGAATGCTATGAAATCATATTTTAACATAATTGAAGCTGACCCTTTCTGTGCTAGGTTGTGGACTCCAGGGGCTGGCAAAGTCACATCTGCTCTTCTTTCCTAACCAGATAGCCTAGAATCTGAATGGCTGGGGAACAGAGTTCCTCCCTGGAGAAGGTGGTGGAATCTTGAATACACTTAGTGTATAAAGGACAGAAAACTGAGGGTCTGGGACAGCAGTTTCCAGCATTGGCTCAACATCAGAATCAGCTGAGTAGCTTTAGGACCCTAAAGCTGCCCAGACCCATCTGTTTCACACCTAAGAGTTCCAGTACTACCTACGTTTCAGCTAGGATCTTAATTTCCCATTGAAGAGCTTTCTTAAATCTCTAATCGTGGTGTGCCATGGTTTTTTACCACCATACCTATTTATCAGTAGTGATTTCTGATGAATCTCCAAAGTATTCAGGAAGGTTTGTTTGTTTCAGAGACAGGGAAGCTTGGGTAAAGGGTGAAATAGGACAGGCTCCTCTGCAAGAAGTCCTGAGGGGAGCAGAACCCTAGAATTGGGTAAGTGATGGCACCTGGAAAGAAGGGGGCAAGCAGGCCAAAGCTGAGAGCCTGTAAGGGGAGAGAAAGAGGTGAGTCATGCAGGGAGTCTCTCTGAGATGGCTCAGGGGGCTGTGGGTTTAACTATCTGCAAACTGCATTTCTTCATAATTTGTACGTTTCCCTTTTGCCATTCTTTGTCAGAGTAAGGAAGAGACATGATTGATGACCATTGCTCAGAGAACCTTTCACTTCCATTTAGATTGTTTATAGGATAGTACTGTTTGTAGGAAGTCTGACATCTTTTGAAAGTGGTAGTTTTTCCACCACTGTTTCTATATTTTATGTTGTCTTAGATACAGAAGGGTACTTTAGACCCTCAGATTTCCAGGAGTTTGCTGGGCACAAGCTAGATGCTCATGTTTTGGAAGACTTGGTATAGTTTCCTTCTTTTATTTGGCAATGACATTATTTTGTGGCAGACTTCTTAACTTGTTAACTGTAGACTAAGGTATCTATTAATTCAAAGAGTGGACCTTTATTTAAAGATTTTATTTATTTGAGAGAGAAAAAGAGAGAGCATGCGAGCGCGTGTGAGCAGGGGGAGAGGCAGAAGGAGAGAGAATCTCAAGCAGACTCCCTGCTGAGCGGGGAACCTGCTGTGGGGCTCGATCTCACGACCCTGAGATCATGACCTGAGCCGAAACCAAGAGTTGGGTGCTCATCCAGCTGCACCACCCAGGCGCCCCGAGTGGACCTTTGTTTATAACACTGTTTAGCTGTTCTCGGAGCTCCAGCGTTCCTCCGTTTGATATGCTGACTGCAGTGTGGTGATATTGGTGTGTATTTCATTGTTCGAAGGGCCCAGCTGAGAGCGTGAAAGGGAATCGATGTTCTGTGGAGCAGTGCTGGCTTCTGATTTCCTCAATTAACCTGTAAATACAAGTCTCTTCATACCCATTATCAAGATGCAAAAAAGCAGATCAGAGAATAAATGTAATTTTTTGGGTGGGTGGGAGCATTATAATATTTCTTTAGGACTGAAATCTGTTCTCCAGCATTCCTTCTGCTTACAACATTCATGTAAATATGGCCATGAAAAAGAAAAAACAAACAGTCCAGAAACCTTTTTGGATAAAGCCTAAAGACTTAAAATGTTATTGCAGTTTCATCCTAAATGAGTTTAAAAAT